CTGTTATTGATCATGTCTTGAAAAATTAGTTCACATTCATATTAATACAGGTATTAATACAGGCCAAAATATAATGATTAACAAAAAAAACTTCAATATTCTTGTAAAGAATTTTTATTTTTGATTCATTAGATGTTATTTACTTGCTGTTGGTATTGCTAATGTATTTTCATAAGATAAAGCTTTTAAATTCTGTTTAAATTTTTACAATTATATTTTATTTTTGTATACAAATGTTATTTTATGATTATGACAACAGTAAGCTTTTAGTAATGACATGAAGGTGAACAGCAACTAGACCTTCATGTTGTTACTATATTCCTAAACAGTTGGTGAATAGAATAAAACAATTCTATTCACCAACTATTTGCTAAGTTGTTTCACAAGCATGGTCTCAGTGTTAAGTATCAGACAGAAGTCAAAGATTATAATTTGGATTTATACCATCAGAGTAGAGATTTTAACTTTTTTCATTTCTGTAAGTCAAGGTCATCAGATCACGCTTTTGCACCTCATTAAAAAAAGGCTCAATTTTTTTTTGTAATGCAAAATTTTATTATTACTTAAAAAATATTTATCCAAAAAGTATATTTTAACAAAAACTGTATTTTCTTTGAATATTTATAAATGTATATATGATTTATCCCTCTGCTTGTATTCTGTTTTTTAAAAATTTCAATATATAACTAGTTCAGACACCATTATTTTCTAGGAATTATCACATCCACAGATTCTGAAAATACTAGCCAATCAATGACTTTTTACTTATTTTACCCAGATGCATTTCAGAAATTATAATATTTTTCTCCTCGGTGGACTTTCTTTCATACAAGCTAAACTATGCACAAACACTTTTGTCCATAAACTAGAACCAATTAAGGGAGATTGTTTAAAAAATATTATGCAAAAAAGAAGGATGTTGGATATTTTAAAGATTATATCAGATGCTAAAATGACTTGTGACCAATTACAATTAACTATTTAAGATATGGACATTGATCTGACAGGTGGAACTACCAATAATGATAGAAGATAATAGATAATTGTAGGAACAAGTAAAAAATACAACTAGATATGAAGCAATGGAGTAGGATCACCTCAAAAACCTATAGAGTTTTCTTGACTTCAGTGAGTTCAACAGAAGTCAATCTGTCAAATATTCTTGATAATATTGTGGAAAAGGGTAATGAAGTTGCATCTAATATGTCTGTTTGAAATTGTACTTGGAAATTAACACATTTACAACACTACTGGTGAATTTGCATATTTAACTCTAGCCATCACAATGGCACATCACCATAGTGAAATGAATGCTGTTTAGTTAAACTTATATATGATTATCATTATAATTAAACTTATAATGAATTTAACTTCTTATATTGAGTTTATCCTTGATATGTGGCTGTACATAAAGAATTTTTACTATTGTATATCATTTTTAAAGCATAAACATTTATTTGATAGAAATGATATATGAAGTTGAAGTATAATGAATGCATAAGCATGTGTGTTGTAGCCAGGTTCTGGATATAAGTGACCACAGCTGTTGATTGACACATTTATAGCTATAGTGGCCATCATCTTGCCACCATAGCTCTAAATGTGTGCTATAAATAGAAAATGGTGGCCATCATTTTCTTGTAAAGCTGTTTTATAAAAATGGCGATAATACTGTGGCTGTACTTTGGAAATTTTGTCTTTGTCAGAGTTTACTCTGAGAATCACTACTCAAAGTTATCAGGAAAAGATAACTTGATTTGAGAAAATGAGATCTGAAAGTTTACCACAAAGCTATTACTTCATAAGTTGTTGAAAATGTCACTACAACTTTGAACAGTCAATGAATAATGTTACAGGTTCCAATAGTGTGTGTAGTGTTACAGCAGTCTTATATATTCTATTGCATAGTGTGGAAGATACTGAGAAAGTTGGTGTATTGTCATCTGGATAAGATCAGCCACAACCAGCAGTTGTTTGCATTTGGCAAGGAAATTCAATTGACCTTTGCACTAACTTATCTTGCCAGAATGGAAGTAAATACATCGTGGCCATGAAAAGATTCTTTGTAGCGACTAGTCTATTTGTGCCTAATACAAGATTCGTATCTGTGATCTGCAGAACTAGGAATTCATTTACTCTGCTGCTAGATTGATAAAAATTTAATATGACATAACTTGATGATTGAAAGTTGATTATTTACATAATGAATACTATCACTAGAATTTTTAAAAGATTAACACTTACATTTAGTTTTCTATATGAATTTTCATGAATGTTTGTATATAAAAGTAATATGAAATAATGGCAACAAAATTGCAAACAGTTTATATAATTTTAATTAAATAAATACAATAATACTATTTAATTTTAAATTTATAAATTAAACTATTTTTCAGTCATCTTCTACATCACTGTTTTCAAGCTTTAATGGATCATGGTGCTCATACATCTGAGCATTTAGCAGATGCTTATTATCAACATTGCTTAACTGTTAAGCATTCTTCAGTTCAAGTGAAAGATAGGACAATTCAACTTGGTCTTTCTCTAGGTAGGTTTTTGCATATATGTGAAAATATAAATTATATTGTTGTTCATATACACATCTAAAAGTTCTTTATAAGAAAATTAAAGTTAGTCAATATACCTGTATACAATAAAGAAAATTTCTTACAATTAAAACCTGTATAAATTACTCAGTCATGACAAATTAGAAGTGTTGTGTTGTTTTACAGTAGACCCCCCTATAACGCTTAGATACGTTCCACGCTAACCGAAAATTACGTTGTAGGAATGATTAAATACATGAGCCATTCGCAGCCCGATAGGTGGGAACTTTACGGACTAAGGCTGTTTGAAAGGTTTTCTTCTATAAAATTAACCGATTCTAGACTAATTCCACTCAACATTTCCAAAACACGTATAATTTTTTGGGAATAATCCGTATAAACTACGCTATAAACAAAAAATTATAGGATTACTTACCGAGTGTGTACCGTTCGACTACGCCGTTGCTTAAAGCTGGTTTTCATCGCGGAACAGCACATTAAACGGCGGCCGCGATTTCTAATAACT